CAGGCTGCAGGAGCGGGACGAGGCGGGGATAGGGCCTCGGGTGCGGGGCAGCCCGTGTGCTAGCCGGCGTCTGTGCTTGCCCCCTGACAGGTGGCTGACGTGCAAGTCCCTGCCCCCGGGAGCTCTGGAAAGAATTGCCGACACCGTGGCGGACCGGGTGCGGGTCCCTTGGTTCTACGGAGCCGTGAAGGTCAACGTCAGCCTCGTGCCGCCTCTCGTTCTGCTGCCGGTCTTCCTCCACGTTGCCGCCTTGCACTTCCTGCTGGGGCTCGTCATCTTGACGTCTCTGCCCGTGGTGGTGCTGTGGTATTACTACCTCACCCACAGGAGGAAGGAACGGACTCTCTTCTTCTTGAGCCTGGGACTCTTCTCCTTGGGCTACATGTACTATGTGTTCCTCCAGGAGGTGGTTCCTCGAGGCCACGTGGGGTATTCCCAAGTGGTCGCTCTCACGTGCGGGTTAATTCTTATGCTTGCAGCTCTGTCTCGAGCCAAGAAAGACCCTGGCTACCTTCCCATTCCAGCGAGCAATGAGAAGTTATCGCACCAGAGTTTGCCCAACAAGAGTATTAGAGGGACCCCCAACGGGCTCCATGGTGTCACCATGTCGGGAGCTGCCAGCGGCCGTGCTGTGAATGGGGAGGCCAAAAGCTATTCCAGGATGTCAGCTGAGGAGCCAGAAGGTGTGAGAAGGGACTGGTGCACTAAGTGCCAGCTGGTCAGACCAGCCCGAGCAGGGCACTGCCGGCTTTGTGGCCGGTGTGTGAGGAGACTGGACCATCACTGCGTCTGGTAGGTTTTGCACTGCTGAGGCTACACGTGTTCTCCCTCTCTCTTCCCCCCCCTCTTTAAGTTCTGGAGGGTTTTTTACAGTCCCTGTCAAATGGGGTTGCTTTTGTTATGTGCAAGACCTGGTGATGTTCTTTAAAATGGTAATTTTTTATTTACTGTTTTAAAGAACAATGTAAACAATTTTTGTTGTAAGTGGGTTGACCTGATAGCTGATAACTTCTACAGCATGCTTTAGAATTGCCTTTGGTTCTCTACTGTTTTTTATCTGGGTGCATTGGGGTTTTTTGAGGTTTTTTAGACTTTATCTGTGGAGCACTTAGGAATCCAGCAGTTAATTTGCATTAGTGCTCTCCTGGGGCGGGGGAACCCAAAGCTGCCTGTGTGCAGGCAGAACCAAGGAGCAGTAGGGTATAGATGTGTCTCAGCAAAGGATACTGCGCTTGCTAAAAGTTTGAGGCAAAGAATCCACCATTACCCTACTGGTCTATTGACTTGTATCTACAACCTTTCTATAAAAAGCTATAAACCTTCTTTGAACATGTTTCAAAGTTCTTAGCTTGTGTTGTATAGAAGCACCTTGGAAATTAGGTTCTCTGACAGCTGGGGGAGGGAGGAGGAAAGAGAAGCCGGTTTCTTTTCTTTTCAAGCAAAATAATCTCTTCTTTCCTTTTGGAGGATTAACAGCTGTGTAGGGGAGCAGAACCATCAAGCATTCATCCTTGCACTCTCCTTCTTCATGCTCACCTCTGTGTATGGGATTACATTGACCCTGCATACCGTCTGTAGGGGTCGAACTCCATTTGTGGCATTGTTCTACTGCCCTGGGGCCTATTCTGACTACAGGTGAGACATCTGTCTGGGGGAGAGCTGGGGTGGGAACGGGCTTGGTCAGGCAGCTTAGCTTCCGTTCCTCATGCTGTGCTCTAGGCCAGTGCTGTTGACTGTCAAACCTGACCAAAAAGTGCTCCCTAAAAAAGTCTGGAAAGCATCACTGCTTTTGCCAAGGTGGGGTGCCTGAGACTTGGAGAGAGCTCACAGTTTATTTAGAAAAAGTTGTTTGGAGGAGCTGGGATTTGAAGTCTTTGTTTATTGTGTCTTATATAGATACGCCCTTAAATATGTTTGCCCTCAGGTAACGGTCTGACACTCTGGAATCTGTGTGCTGTCTTTCCCTTTCATCCCTCACTTTATCTGGTGACTGTACTCCAGGTTATCTGCTTAGAACAGACAGGATTAATACACCTTGTCTGGCAGGGAGGGTGGTGAGAAGCATTGGACATGAGTTCAGAGACTGGCACTACCACTGATGGGCAGAGTACACTAGGACAAGTGACTCCACCTTCTTCTGTACTCCATTTTGTGATCTATCGAGTGTGAGCGTCGTTGTGTTCTTAAATAAGGACCGAGTACCTTTACAACAGTAAGAGTAAAGAGCTAGGTATTGCGATAGCAATGTGCAAGAGTAGCTCTGGTAGCACTAAAAGCTTTCATTAAGTAAGCCCTGAAGCTTTAATTTTGAGAAAGCCTTTAAGGATTATCTGATGAAAGCAGCAAAGTGAGATCGCTGTGGCAGATGTAGACAGGGATTTGAAAGGATAGTGATTACCAGGGAAAGTCACTCTAAAGCAGCTGCTCCAAAACTAAATGGCTTCCTTCCATCTTTTTCCCTGCTGCCAGCTCTGCTCTGTCGTTCACCTGTGTGTGGTACTGTGCCATTGTAACAGCTGGGATGGGATACATCCTCCTTATCCAGCTGTTGAACATCAGCTACAACGTGACCGAGAGGGAAGCTCGGCTGGCTCTGCGGGACAACACTGGGCGCAGGCTCCTGGGTGGGTTAGTGATAGACACTGGCCAGTATAACAGGGGTTTCCTGTGCAACTGGGGCCATTTCTTGAGCCTGGGGTCTTCTCCTCCACAGCGCTCTGCTGAAGACATCGTGTGACACCCCTCTTTCTACAGGTGATGCTGACTGACTTTCTTTAGCAGGGAAACAACCCCTTACACTAGGACTTCCTCCTCCCACACCCTTCCTTTGTGGTCGGTGTATGGGCTGCCTATCCCATCACTGACAACATCAGAGGCTTTCCAGGCAGAATGGTTCTTCACGTGCTGTCAGCCAGCAATAGGATGCGGAAAGCAGTAAGCCATATGCATAAACTTGGAGAGAAGGAGCCTGCTGCCTTTTT